CTGGGCTGGGCTGTTTTGTTTCCAGCGGCTTGTGAGTTCCCTTTGATTTCGTTAGACTGCTGGAAGCTTTGGCTAATGTGGGATTTTCTCACGTGTTATGGGCTATTAGGTTTTCTTAAGGTGATGGGCTACTAGGCTTTTCTCTCATGCTTACCCATATGTTTGGGCTCAAGGAATGGGCTTGAGTTTTGGTGCTCCCAAGTAGCCCAAAACTTCCACTCCTTGGACCATCAATGGGTCTCGTGAATACTCGTAACCATCCATACCACAATCCGCTCAGCAAGCCCCAGGCATTCGCGTGGCTTGGGCCCACTTAAGCTTTGTAGCGTGACATGTTGCTTATTTGCTTGGCGTGGCATGTGTGCAAGCACATATGACGAACTTTCGCGTACCCGAATTGGGTTTCTTCTCGATAAGGTATAGCATTGGGCCAAGATTATATTTGGGCCTAGCCTTGGATTTTTTGGGCCTCAACCGTCACAAATTTTTGAAAATGAGAAAATACTTCGGATTTGCGACGCATGGGATAAATCCATGAGTAGTGGGAATATTCATCAATGAAAAGCATATAGTAATGAAAACTGGTAATATAAGTAACAGGAGACATCCACACATCATAGTGAATTAAGTAAAATAAAGATGGGGCATAATTTTTATTGATAGAAAAAGGCAATTGTGTTGATTTACCAAGAGCACAACCCTTACAAAATTTAGAATGCGAATGAAAAATAGAGCCTAAAGAGGAGCTTAATTTAGATAGGACTGAAGACAAGGGCTGACTAAGACGATTATGCCACACTGAAGACGAGACGACAACGAGAGCACAAGGATAGAAGGAATAGAAGATAAGGACATAAGGTACAGACCATCCTTACAGAGGCCTGAAAAAGAAGTGTGGCAGTATGTAAGTCACAAATTTGGTAGAAATTGGGTGCAAAAATGAAGAAGACGGAGTTATCATGTGTAAAGCGAGCAATAGACAAAAGATTTTTATCAAAAGCATAAACAAGGAAGACATCACTAAAGGTGAGTTTAGAAGTCTCCAAAGAGAGGGGTATGTTACCAGTATGAGAGATGGGAAGGGAGTCTCCATTACCCAAAAGTACGGAATTATTACCATGATAGGGTTGGCGATTGGAGAGAGAATTGCCATTGCCAGTCATGTGGTGCGTTGCTCCTATATCGGGGTACCACATGTTGTCTGGCGGATGAATGGTGTGGGAGCTAGGAAAGGATGGAAATGAGTCAGGTCCATTGTACTAGGTGACTGAGCTGCCATTAGGGCAGTGCTTTGGGCAGCAGGGTCAGAGGAAGGGCGCGAGGCATGGGGCATGGGTTGTTCGCACCACTTTGCAAAACCCAAGGGAGGTGTCGTATAGCAGTGTAGCTCGGAAGTCCGAGTGTCGTATACACAGAGAGCAGTGTAAAGAAAATAACAGAGATGAAAAAGAACAAGTGTGATTGAGAGGTTGATTTATGCAAGATTTGATTTAGAGA